GCCTCCCAAGTAGCTGGGACCACAGGCGCCCGCCACAACGCCCGGCTATTTTTTGGTTGCAGCCGTCATTGTGGTTTGGCGGGTCTGGGCTGGGGATTCGAACCCGCCACCTTAGGTGTATGTGGCTGGCGCCTTAGCCGGTTGAGCTATAGGCGCCGAGCCACCCTTTGGAGTCTTAACTGAAACTTGGGGCCAAAGGAGCCTCCCGTACCTCACTCACAGACTATGGTCTACGTTCTACGCTAGGCCAGAGGTGGAAACACGCAGTCTGCGACCGGTTTTGTTAGGCACACACTACGACAGCCCACAAAATGCTTTAACATTTTTAAAATTAGTTACCAATAGGTAAAAACTGGGTGAATTCACATGAAAGAAAGCTGGGTTTCTTGCTTCTTCATATCAGATGTGCCCAGAATGTACCCATGTCCCTTCAGGGTGACACCCAACGAGAGCAGATTAGGAGCTGCCCCTTGAAATGGCACATACACTACCCAGATGGAAACAGCTCCAGCCTGATCAGTGCCTGGCATACAGTGGGTTCGCAAGACTTGCTGGATGGATAGACGAACATATTTTAGGTTTTCCAGGTCATTGGTCTCTATTGTAACTACTCAACTTTGCCACTGTAGCACAAAAGCAGCCACAGGCAGTATGTAAACAAATGGTCGCAGCTGCATTCCAGTAAAACTATAAAAACAGGTGGGTAGTAGGGAAGCCTAAACTAGTACCCAAATTTTTATTTATTCTGTACATATATTTTGGAAAATGTTATCAATATGCAGCAGGTAAAAATTACAGTTCTTACTCATTTTCTAAATCCTCCCCAATCACCTTCAATGTAAAAGTATTTCCCTCTATTTATGTGGTTTTTTTTCCTCCAGAACCCTGTCTCTCAAGGCAGTAAAGAACAACATATATTATCTTTACATGGCAAAGGAGACAGGAAAATGGAAAATGTAAGGAGATTTCTAATCAAAGAACATGGGCTCAAATGACATCACCAAGCAATGACATAATGATGGGATCAAGTGAAGGAAACCAGCCAAGCTAAGAGGTACCATCTAGGAGCCTCTCCTACTGTGGACCTACATTACAATTGCCTGAAGACACTCATTGAAGGCTGGGAGAGGTGGCTTCCACCTATAATCCTAGCACTCTGGGAGGCTGAGGCAGGCGGATCACTTGAGCTCAGGAGTTCGAGACCAGACAGAGCAGGAGTGAAATCCTCGTCAAACCAAAAAAACTAGCCAGACATTATGGCAGGTGTCTGTCGTCCCAGCTACTCAGGAGGCTGAAGCAAGAGAATCTCCTGAGTCCAAGAGCTTAAGGCTGCTGTGAGCTATGATAATGCCATAGCACTCTACCCAGGGCAATAGAGTGAGACTCTGTCTTAATAAATAAATAAATAGATAAAAGACACTTGTTGAAAATGCACATTTCTGGAGCCCATAGAGCTAAAGAAAAAGAATATTTTGGAGGGTGAGAACTAGGAATATGGACTTTGAATAACTTCACTAGTAATTCTTATATACAAGGAAGTGTGAGAACCCCTGATTTAGGCATATGCCAGTGGGCCTCTGAGCTAACACTTGCCTTGGCTCCAGGATCTTCAGAAACAGCAACAAGCTTCCCCCTCCCTCTCCACCAGTGCTTCTCGAACCTGCCTGCACATTCAGAGTACCTAGGGCTCTTGAGAATGTGTGGATGTCTGTGTCTGTCCTCAGAGGCAGTGACATAAATGGTCTAGGGGGTAGCTGGGACATCGGGAGTGTTTTAAAACTCCCCAGGTGATTTCAGTGTGCAGCCAAGGATAAGAAGTGCTGTTCCAAACCGTCGATTCCACTTAGAAGATCCCAGGAAGCCTTAGAGAACAAGCCCCCAGTTTTCAAAGCCACTTGCCTCTTTCCTCCTGCCAGGATGTGCTTTCCTTAGCCAGGGCCGTGTGTTCCTAGGCCTCTCCTATGACACAGGCAGGAGCCCAGTGTTGTGGCTGCCGTGGTTTTACCTCTGACTATGACACAGCAAGCCATGATGGGCAGCTGTGCGACTTCGCAGCCTCTTATGTGCACAGAATGGATGCAGCACAAAGCGCCTCTGTGGCCTACATTAAAAGTTGCCATCTCTCTAAAAGTACTTTCTTTAAAAATAAAGATGATCTACCCCCACCCCCATAAAAAGTATATTTCACCTTATATCCTAAGAGCCTTTCACTGTTTTTCTCACTCTGTCCCCTGGATAGAGTATTGTGGCATCATAGCTCACACCAACCTCAAACTCCTGTCCTTAAGCGATCCTCTTGCCTCAGCCTCCCAAGTAGCTGGGACTACAGGCACCCATCACAATGCCCAGCTACTTTTTTCTATTTTTATTTTTATTTTATTTGAGACAGAGTTTTAGTTTGTTGTCCTTGGTAGAGTGCCATAGCGTCATAGCTCATGGCAACCTCAAACTCTTGAGCTTAAGCAATCCTCTTACCTCAGCCTCCCAAAGAGCTGGCACTATAGGTGCCCACCACAACACCTGGCTATTTTTTAAGAGACAGGGTTTCATTCTTACTCAGCATGGTCTTGAACTCCTAAGCTTAGGCAATGTACCTGCCTCGGCCTCCCAGAGAACTAGGTTTACAGGCATAAGACACCATGGCCGGCCTGCAAATTATTTTTGGTTGAATAGCTATTTTTCTCTTACGAAGTTAACGGACAACTACTTTAAGAAATAATACTTGGTCCTAGATTTACTTCCTATCTTGACTCACTTTTTCATAAATCAAATACCAGAAAATAGGTAACTAACCCACTGGTAACAGCTGGCGCTGTCTGAGTACTGACTATGTGCCAAGTGTCATTTGAAGTTGTTTCTGCTCATCCTGCCAGCAAGCTCTTAGAAGAGCAAAATCATCATATGATTCTTACATAATTCTCTCACTTACTTCTCTCCAGAAACTCTTGCAGGTATGATCTATGATACCCCATTTTACATGAGAAGAAACTGAGACTGCAGTTCGTACAACTCTGAAGGAGTGGCAGGCATCAAAGCCTTTATACCACTGCCTCTAGTGAAATCCCAACAAGAGCCAGGCGCATATGCTCCCAGTTGTGCATGCCAGTCTCGCTGGGCACCGGGGCCCTGTCCTATACCCCTACACTGCAAGATGTTCTGACCTCTATCAACCTGTCAACAACCACTGAACTTCTGGAGCATTGCACATCATCCTATGGAGCAGAGCCATGACAATGCACAAAGACAGACCCCAGGACTCCAGACCTTCACCAAGCAAGGTAGAGATTCAGTCCATTTTTAAGAAGTGAAAATTCATTTTTCCCATAGCATAACAAAGTTTCCATGAACACCAGGCCATGGAGGCTGCCTCAATAACCCTAAGGAACATTATCATCAGCATCATTATTATTTTGAGACAGAGTCTCACTTTGTTGCCCTGGGTAGAGTGCTATGGTGTCACAGCTCACAATAACCTCAAACTCTTGGGCTCAAGCAATCCTCTTGCCTCAGCCTCCTCAGTAGCTGGGACTACAGGTGCCCGCCATAACGCCCAGCTATTTTTAGAGACATGGTTGCTCTTGCTCTCGTTCAGGCTGGTCTCGAACTTCTAAACTCAAGCAATCCACCCGCCTTGGCCTCCCAGAGTGCTAGGATTACAGGCCTGAGCCACCCAGGCAGCCTGAAGAATATCATCAAAGACACAAACAATGGCACCCCCAGGAAGAACATTCTTAAGTGGAGAAGGGTATGAGGCTTGGGGAGTGCTGAGAGCAAGTACTTTGTGCAAATGCTTGGTTCTGAGTAGGGAAAATATTCCCACAGTTGAAAATTCCAAAAAGACTGAGAGAGGGTTCTCTCTCAGCCCATTCCATCCCCCTCCACCCTGATCACCCTGAGAATAACTACTGTTGTTACTGTCTTGGATATCCTTCTAATGTCTCTGCAGACAAGAAAAAGTGAATAGGAGCATGTAGTCTGCATTCTTCTCCTTTCTTACACAAAGTAACATACTCCATATTGTTCCACATCTTGACTTTTCCACTTGTAGATCCTTCCCTAGGGGTACACAGGGCCATCCTCATCCTCAAGTAAAAGCCACTGTTTACTTCAACATACAGACACACCATTATTTATTTCACTGGCCCCCTACACTGATGGCCACGTGGGTTGTTTACAACCTTTTGCTATTACAAATGGGATAAATTCCTAAAGGTGAAATTGCTGGGTCAAAGGCACACACATTTGTAGTTTTCATGAAATGAGAAACTTCCCCAGGGAGCAATGTACAAAAGAAATAGAGGAGGTGCCTGATTGCAGACAACCAGCTCTGCCACTCACTATGCTGGTGACCTAGAGCAGGCTACTTTCCTTCCCTGTGCCTCAGGTTCCTCATCTATAAAATGGGGACAACATAAGGCCCTACCTCACAGGGCCATTGTGCACATACGGGAATTGGTATCTCTAATGCACCTAGAATGATCCGGCCCACAGACCTTTCTTGTTAAGGACTTATCACCATTATCCCCAGCCCCTCCCAGCTATTTTCTGGACTGCAACAGAGATGGTAGGCACATATTACAGCCTGGCTCATCGTGGGTCTGGGGTGCCGCCAGCAGGGGGCTGTTGGCACAGTGACTGTCCAAAGTTCTTGCAAGGTATATGCACAGTCTGGGTCTGGCAAGGCTTGCAAGACAGAAACTGGATCTCATTAGGGTCCCAGAACTAGTCCAGCTCAGGGGTGCTGACTCATGCAAAAGAAAGTTGCAGGAGAAAGGTGAGGGAAACCAGGCCAGTGGGTAAATCCAGCAGGAGAAATGGGACTGCCACGAACACCAGAAATAGGTGCTGGCCTCTCCCTGACTGATGTCCCCGCTTCCTTGAAGGCACCCTCTGGAGGCTCCTCATGCCCTCAGAGTCAAAGCCCAAGTCCTTCCAGTGGCCCCCAACGACACCGTGATCTCTGGCCACGTCAGCTCCTGCCCATTTCCCCCTTGCCTGTCTCCCTTCCAACTACTGTAGCCAGCTCTCCAAACCTGCCTGGCATGCTCCCAATGCCCCACCGAGGATCTCTGCCCCAGCTGCTCCTTGGCCCCCCACCTCCTAGAGCCACACAGCTTCTCTCTCACCTCCTTCCAGCACCTGCTCACGCCACCTCTCAGCCTGGCCTCCCCTGACCCCCCTAAAACTGCAATCCCCTCTATCCCCCGCCAAGTCCCCTATATCACCCTCACCACTCACCCCCCATCTTGCTCTATTTGTTTGCCCTTTTTTTTGAAACAGAGCTTCAAGCTATCACCACCCTGGTGATAGAGTGCTGTGGCATTACTGCTCACAGCAACCTCCAACTCCTGGGCTCAAGCGATTCTCCTGCCTCTGCCTCTCAAGTAGCTGGGACTACACCCGCCACAGCCACCTGACTATTTTTTGGTTGCAGCCGTCATTGTTGTTTGGCGAGTCTGGGCTGGAGTCAAACCCACCAGCTCAGGGTATGTGGCTGGTGCCTTAGCCGCTTGAGCCACAGGTGCCGAGCCTATTTGTTTGCTTTTTTCTACAGTAAAAGTCATTGTCTAACATACAACCATCTACCATACCTAGCTGTTCTGCAAATTCTCCTCACTGAAACAAGCACCAAGGCAGGGATTGTATAGACTTCTATTTGCTGATACACCCCCGACTGCCAAGTCATCTGAACTCAACAGGTCCTATCTTTCAGCTGGGGCAGCTCTTCTTTTTGTCCAGTTAGCATCCACTCCCTTTTTTTGCTCTTAACAGCATCACCTCTTTTCTTTTGAGGTGACCCAGACCTTGATAATCTGTATCCCTTGATACTACAAATGGCTCAGGGAATGATGTGTGATCTGAGCCAGGTCACTTAGGTGAATCCTGAGAGTGCTTTTGAAATGCTTGGAAAAAACAGCTCTTTCCTTGCTATAGGACCACTAGCAGTAAAGCTGCCAGAAGCTAAGGATGCCTTGTGAAGCTTGACAAGGAAGCCAACCCAAGGCACAGCACTAGAAAAGACAAGGTCCTGATAATATTCTCTGAGTTCCTACATCCCACACCCTGAAGCCAGAAACTACTCCTGGACTTTTCAGCATGAGCCCATAAATACTCCCATTTTCCATGGCTAGTGAAGTTTTCTGCCACTTACTTTAGCTAACACACTCAGACTCACAGTCTCCTGGGCAAGACTGGGATTGCGGAGCTGAACAGTTCTCTCCAACTGACATTTTATTTTCTGACATATTAGATCTTTTCATGAGTTACAGACAAGACTTGCTAGGTTGAGATGTCTCTGTTCTGACCTCCTATGTGTTCCGCGTAGAAGGCGACACTATTTCCTACTTCTTCAGCCGCTGAACATCACAGGCAGCCTAGAGGGCTGCATGATTTGGGCAAACTGCTGGTGTCATGATGTCCTGGCTCAACCAACCACTGCCAAGCAGCGCAGGGGCCTCTGCTCCTTCAGGTCATCCTCTCCAAGCTAGACATTTCTACTGGACTTGAGAGGGTCAGTCTAGACCTTTCTACTGGGCTCCCAAAGATCATTCTGCCTGTTGCATAGAGCATGGAAGGCCACGGGCAGTCACAATTATGCAGGAATACCTCATGGGAGCTGTAGCCATCATCCAGGTAGGAAAGGAAGACAGCTAAGATTAAGATTTTAACAGCAAAGACAGAGAAAAATGGACATCCTGGGGAGAGATCTAGCAAGCTGAACTGCAGAACTTGGTGACTAGACATGGGCATATGGGAAAAAACTCTCAGATTCCCAGCTTGGGCAAATGATGGTGCATTTCCTTATACAGAAACCCAGCAGGGGAGGGAGAAGGCTGGGAACAGATGCCAAGTCAGTTTCAGATGCCCATGCGACAGCAATGTACTGGAGTTGGTGCAGATAGGACATATGCATTCCAACTTGCCCTGCTCCACTTTACTCGCCCATCAGAAGATTAAAAGAAATAAAATTTATGATTCTTTCAAAAATAACACCTTTGTTAATGGGCATGGGAGGTACAGTTTTGTCTTTCCCATGAATTACCTAATTATTTAAATCACAGAACTTAATTTAGAGTAATTCTACCACCCAATTCCTGACAAAACAAACACATTTCCTAGATCTAAGATGAATGTGACTGGGACTTACCAAATGTATCAAGTATGTCAGTGATAAGGACAAATTTGCTTGGGTAGAACTGAATCACGCTGGTGTCTGAAAGAAGCTTGGAACACTAGAAAAAGAGAGAGAAAAAAAAAAAAGAAAACTTACTGTGGTGGGTCTGACTTGGTTAGGACTCTCCAAGCCTGGAAAATTAATGACTTCTATACACAAGTTAAGGTACTTAGCATATGCCAAGCCCTGTCCTAGGATATAATGGTAAGTGAAACCAGGGTGGCTTGATAAACAGAGCCAGACTCTACTCACCACAGAGCCTCTTAAGGAAAGACATTTATCACCTGGCTCCAGGAAAGCCACAGAATGAAGTCTTATCCGGAACAATTCTACTTGTATACTGAACAGGAATAGCACTTGAAGTCACTGAGAGACATCAATGTTACCCCTCACATCATAGGCCTCTCAGGCGATCTCATCTTTGCTCCAAATTCTTTCCAGCCTGACTTCTGGTTTACTTCAGGGTGGGCTGGATTCTATGGTGCTTTTCTATGAAATGATCCCATAAGTAAATACTCAAGGCTTCATAAACTCACATCAATTATTTATACTCACTCCTGCATTTCTCTCTAAAAGGAAGTAGGATGAGCTCCAAAAAGTATAAGTTTCTCAACAAAATCCTTATTGCTGAGAACATTTCAGCTTTGCAAGAACTGCTCAATCCTATATTCTCACTTATGCCCAAGGGCCACTGACATGTTCAGAACTCTTTTTTTTTTTTT